TTCTAGGTGATTTGTGTTATTGCCTTTATGAAGTGTATTAGGACGTCGATTCTTTTTTTTTCGTAATCAAGTGTTTTTTTGGTATTTCTGATTGTTTGTTTAACTGTACGCAAAAATTGGAGGAATTCCAATCATAATTTACCTTGAACTAACCCTCAAGAAGAGCAGCCAATAAAGAAAAAACAAGAACGATGGAATTAGGAAAAATGGATAAAGAATTAGAGATGGTTCGTTTCGCCTCCTATCCATACGAACCATTTTCGTCATTACCGTTGAGGCTCATCAGTGGATGAGGGTAATGACTAATACAATTGGTAAAAAAGAGTAGAAGTGGGCTAATCCCACTTATTTGCGAAAAAAAGGATAACGTCAAAGAAAAGGTAATTAAGATGAATGTTAGAGAAACTAAATGTTAGTACGGAAGAGTTGAACTAAATCATGTTACCTAAAAATTGTCAGAAGAAGTATAATGAGTGTACGGTAGTCCTTAAAGGACTAGATTTCTATTAGAGCGTGCTACCTATAATGCACTCACAATAGAAGATGTAACTGTAACGTATCGGAACAAGTCCTCGATAGGTAGATACCCATATACTAACTAATTGCTTCTTCCGATATTGCTTCTTCCGATGGTATACTAGGTATTATATTATTTTTTGTCTTAGTACTAGAACAGAGGCAAACTAGTACACAAGAATTAATTTTTAAGTGAGCTTATTGGCTTTTTGAATATGATCTTATGACCTATTATGAACAACCTATTTCATCAATGTGTGGTCCCAACACGATAAAAACATCAGAACTATATAAGTCCTAGAATCCCAAAAATTTCTAATTTGTGAACCTGTACTTCTGTTATCCTACTAATTAGATTGATCACATCCAGGTTTAACAACTTCTATACTTTAAAAAATCTTCTAACCTCCTATTTGTTTTTCCTTGCTTCTCTATTATTCATGGTTCTTATTCTCCTGATATTTTTCCATGATTCTTGAAGTTAACTGGACTCCTTGGTTGGTAAATAATAAACCAACATATATCTGGAAAGTATTAAACTTTAAACTCCATCTCAATAGAATTAGAGCATATACGTAACTTCGAGTTAATACTGAAATCTATCAAATACTGTACACTTAAACAAATCGTGGGAAGTAAAAATCGATGGGGGGGGGGGGGGGGGGCCGCCCCGCCCCCCCCGCCCCCCCCCCCCCCCCCGCAGTAAAAAGTATAAATTAGAAGGTAAACCTACATGTGTAATCGTAAGATCTAAGAAACAAGTAGTATCCAAGCGATGAAAGTGTATACACACCTTATCTCACGTCTATGAAAAATCGCATCTGTGTAATGAACATGTTAAACTTTATGATTTTTACGTACTTGAGATCAGGTGTGTTATGAAGTAATGTCTCTTGATAAGAGGCTTCAGGAAAAATAATAGAAATACTGTGATCCTAATATCATAGTGGTAAAGTTTAAAAAAATAATAAAATATGTCTTACATGCTTCAAAGATGAATTCAAATGGCTATTCTGATATCACGTACAGAACGCTTAAGTCCACGTCAACATAATTCACGTTTTTGCCATTGGTCGTGAAATTCGTTGTGTAATACGTGATTTCTTTCATCACATCTGGCACACTATATCCTACGTCTTTGTTCCAAATCTTCAATCAAATCAAATAAAAAAGTATTAAATACTATTTAATGTCTAACGTGCAGTCTTGCTTGATGTTTCTATCTGGTTTATACTTGTAACTCACCTATACCTTCGTTGTTGTATCCCCTATATCCTTATATTCACTAATATCTATTTTTTAGGCCGACAATTTTTTGGATGCTATTCTCTCTATTATAGTCTGGTTGCACGATACTGTTACTACTGCGTATTCCACGGATATTTCACTTATTATCGCTAAGTGAGTAAGTTTATATTCTAAGTTATTGTGTTGTTAGAATTACTAATTCTATTATAGAGGGAGACTACTTGAGAATAATTGAGAGTATTGTCCACATGTTGTGTTTATGGGGTTTCTATTGTGCGTTATTAGCAATTGTTCAATTTTTCATATACGCTAATTTAGTGTGGAGAAGTTTGAAAAACGATACGCATACCTTAATTTTCAATAGGTATTTATACCCTTCTTTTTGTACGCAATTTGAATGCTTATCTACTTGTCTAATTATCTATTTACTTAATCTATTTAGGTGTTCCGCGTTTGTTTTATCCTTGTTATACTTGTCAAAGAACCTATATACGATACCTTTATTGTATCTTGGTGGTAAAGTTATAATTTCTTTCTTTATCTATTTTCTTCTTATTTCATATATCTTTCCATTTTAAGGAAATTGTCTTTTTGGTATAGTTTTTTATTTCAACTTAATTAGCTGGTAATCCATATTTTTTATTACAACAGGCGGATATTCATGTAGTATTAAGTTTATCTTTTTAGAGAACTGCTGATATCATCCATTTTGGACTTTTTATACGAACTGGACTCGCGCATTCAGAATTCTCCTTATCGCCTAGCTGAGGTAAGTTAGAATTTTTTAAAAAATTGTTTATTATTGAATTATTTCAACTACGATTCAAGAGGATGTTACATTCGCTTTTGTAGGAAAGTTGTTATTACTTAGACGATCTTGCTTTTTGGTTCTTGGCTTGTTCCATTATTATTTGTCTTCATGAGTGTCCCTTTATTGAGTGAGGTATGTATTCCTTGGGGTATAAGATATTGAGTGTAAGTACTAACTTAAGTAGATGTGTGAAAACAATGATGACGCTTTAGAGACTGGTTTTCACGCAGTAGCAACGACGGATCAAGGAACAACGTTGTAAGATTCAACAGGAATCCAATCAATAGGAACCGTCATAGCCAAACATTTGAAGGTTTTATGCCGTGGTGCCTAATGTAGAAAAGGTGTCCGTAAAAGAAGTAGTAAAGAAGTTTTTAATGGAAATAATCAAGTAAGTTAACATACTAGTTACTTTGTAGGGGCTCTATTTTCTAGGTAAATATTTGAGGTACAACAATCAAATGAACCCAGTCCCTCTCGTTGGATCAAACCTGCTGGTAATCAGAACGACACCACCAGTTTCAAAGTAATATCATAGTTTGACTTATTTATTATACTTTCTTCTATTCTAATAAGGATATTTAGGCAGAAATGTCAAGTTCTTTCTGGGACTTTTTTTGGAGAAGGGTAAACGAAATATACAAGATTACAATAAGAAATACAATGCTAATGTAAAAGTATTACGCGGTCAAACAATTCACGTGAATGACTTAGAAAAATTGAAGTAATAAAGAATATTGAAACAAATTCGTATTTTAATTCTAAGAATTCGGTGTTATAGCCTATAACACTCTGCGTAAAAGGATTCGAAGTATACTGGTGAAAGTCAAAGGAAGTGGCCGCCCGACATGAATGTTCAAATGCTTATAATTTCAATCAAGAAGCAAATTAGGGGTTTACTCTGTAAGTGCAGTAGTTGAGAAATAGCACGCGTGACATGGACATAAGTCATTAATAATTAAGAGATACAAGTCCACAGAATTAGCCGTGAGATTAGGTTGGTCCTATGATGAATGGAACGGCGCCCCCATAAAAGAGTTGTTATCACCGGCGGAGTTGAAAAAATATGAGGTAATGAGTGCCTACAATTTGTTTTATGACCTATTGTTAGATTCTTATTTCTTTAGGAGGAGCGTTAGAATGGGGAAGTTTGTCCATTGAATCTATAATAAATGGTACAGTAGTCAAAAAGAAGAATGAAAAAGTTCAAAGTTTCACAGGAGGTATGTAGTATTAGTTGTCTTAATAGAAATCTAAGTTGGTAAAATAGTATTCTTAAGGATTTACATGGCAGTAGAAAGCGTGAAGCGGATAGGAGTAGTGAGTCTAATGCTAAACAGTTCCGAAGTGATGAAGGAGAAGATGTGGAGTCGCAAGAATAACTAGACATACACATTCGAAGTTTTATTCAGATGTTGAAGTTGTTAATGTTATTAATGTTTTCGCAAAGAATATAACATGTTTGAACGTATTTAATTAATAAATTTGAGTAACAGATTTGAAGTGTACTACATTGAAAAAAGTAGTGTTATTTTCAATGAAAAAAGTGAAGAACGTCAATCGACGTCAAGGAGGACCATCGGTCCCAAACGTTCACCATCGGTGACAATGAGGCGATCTCCTCAAATGAGTATGAAATTTATAACCCGTTCGACGGAACTGGTATGTCACTGTCCATGGGTTTCCCTCATGGTACAATGTACACCAGTCAAGTTAATTATTAATAATTTCTTCGTATACTTTCTTAACTTCTTTTCTAGTTATATTGTTATTCGTCCTGTATTTAGTACCTTTCTTGAGAAGTGTCTTTAGATTATCTTCTTGTATTATACTAAGATCTCCTGTTACTATATGCCCAATGTCTTTATATATGTACTTGTTGTAACTATTATTATTGCATATACAAGTATTTCTTATAATTTCAATTATATGTTCTTCATCTAAGTTTTTAAGGAATCTGTTGTAATTGAATATTTTACTTGATAAGGGTTGGTTGTACTTGAACACAATCCTAACCGGAGTAATTTCTTCTTTTTTGGTTGTACTGTTCATAATGAATCGCTTAATAGATGTGGAATTCAGTATTTTGTTGAATGGAATTTCATTGAAAATTTTGTTAGTGAAGGTAACTATTATATTATGACATTTTTCTTTAGGTTTATGCTGTTCCTTATTAACTCCAAAGTGTAGATGCGCTAATAAACAAAATATTATAAGTCTAGTTTTATTTTTAACTGTTCTTAGAAATTCATTATTAAGAGATAATTGTATTATTTTGTTGAGTTCTTGTTTGGTTAAACTTTTTAGCTGTCTATAGATTTCTACAGGTTTAAGTACGTCTTCCTTTTGTATAATTTCGTCTAAAATTTCTTGATATTTCTTAGTGTTGTTCTTTTTTCTACTTTTATTACCTCTATTAGTTCTATTTTTTACTATTTTGAGAGCGTAGAAGGGTGGGTTATTTTTTAGAAGAACTCGTTCTTTCATTTCTCTCAAATTACCATAGCCTTTAATGTTGTCATTAAGTCCGAATGGATACGGTGTCATCAAAAGTTTAATCCAGAAAAGTTCTTTGCTCAGAAGTGTGTTCTTATCATTATTTTCTAAGGAATCTAAAACCGTAACTTTGATACCTTTGCCGCATTTATGTATATGATCATATAACGGAGTATGTAACTTATGTTTGTTAATATTGTTGAGGTGTTCGTTTATTCTTTCTCTTAGTTTTCTTGTGGTCATTCCAACATACTGCAACCCACAACTATTGCAAGTAAGGCAATAAATGACCATACTACTGTTACAATTAGTGTTTTTTCTTTTGTATGTGTTAATTGTTAATCTTGTAACATGTGATACTATGTTACTACTGTTGTTAGTTATGTTACAAATTCTGCATGGTTTACCGCAAGTTTCTCCTTGTATATTATTTCCAAAGTCTTTCAAAATGTAACCACCTGCCTCTTCTCTTTCCTTAATGAACCGGGTAGTATTGTAGTAGTTACCATTGTTTTTTTGCGCATTTTTTGACCTAGTATCTAAGCGCATGAACGGTCCAAACCCATACGCAGAGAGGAGTCTCCCGAAGGTTCGGCAGGGCTGCTGCCCAGGGGTCGGCACTCCCTGTTTGTTCCAAGAGGAACGACTAGCGCTGGGGGCGTCAAAAATTGACTCCTCCTACCATTTTTGACTTGTATAACCCCGTCAGCGCTAATCCCTATTTTTAGTAAGAGGTATGGCCCTCTTGAAATGGATAAGATTAGTGTAATTTGGGATATGTCATGATCCCAAAAGAGAAGAAGAAAAAGAAGGAAAAAAGAGGGGGGGGAAGGAAAAAGAAGGGGCTATTTTAGTTGGAGCAACAGGCTAAAGTCTTAGAACTAGAAAGAGCAAGTAAACCAGCGTTAGAAAATAATTTCCCTATGTAAGCTGGGATAGCTATTAGAATATGACCTTTGACCTATTATGAGAAACCTATTCCAACCATGTGTGGTCCCAACACGATAAATCTACAGAGCTATATGAAACTCTAAAATCCCAAAATTTTCAGAGTTTGTGAACCAGAACCTCTGTCTTCCTACCAGATAGATTGGTCTCTCCAAGTTTTCAGTGGACCAATACTTAAACTTTCTTACCTCATCTTTCTTTTCTTCTTTGTTTCTCTATTATACATAGTTCTTAATCTCCAGGATACATTTCCACGATTCCTGTAGTTCACTAGACTCCATGGTTAGTTACCAATATCCCAACATATAGCTGGAAAGTATTTAACGTTCAAAGCGTCATCCCAATAGAATTAAAGGGTATACCAAACCACGTCATTAATTCTGAAATCCATAAATAATGGACACTTAAAGGCAACGTAGCAGTATCATTAGAAAGGTAAGATCCATTACAATGTAATTGTAAGATCCTAGAAACAAGTTCTAACTAAGTGATGAAAGTGTAGACACACCTTATCTCACGTCTACGAGAAGTCGTATTTGCGTTATATACATGCTAAACCATGCGATTTCTTCGTGTATGAGACTATGTGTGTTATGATGAAATACCCTCTTGATGAGAAGCTAAGAGAAAAATAGTAAAGAGATCAATATCCTATTACCATTGTAGAAAAGTTGTATAATACTAGAATTATGTCGAACATGCGTCAATGACGAATTAAAGTGATTTTCTGCAATCTACGTACTGAACATCTTATTTCACGACAGCCGTAACTCATATTTTGCTGTTCGTCGTGATATTCCTTGTGTGGTGCGTGTTTCCTCTCATCACACCTCGTACACCATATCTTACGCACATGTACAAAATGTTCAGTCGATCGATAGAAAAATGTTAAAATACTATTTTCATACTTAACGTGTAGATTAGCTAGTTGCTTCGTCCTAATATTCGCGAGAAAAACACTCCGTCATCATTGTCGTATTCCCTATGTCCTTATATTTACTAATTCCTACTTTATAGGTTGGCGAAATTTGGATGCAACATTCACTCCTTTAGTTTCATCACAAAGTACGGTTCTATACTGTGTACTCCACGGACATTCATTCCCAAATTGTGAAAGTAAGTTAGTTTATATTATAAAACATTGTATTGCTAGAAGTACACCATTCTATTTTAGAGGG